GATGCCTAAGTGTGTGTGTGTGTGCGCTGTCTGTCTATCTGTCTGTCTGTCTGTCCGTCTGTCTGTCTGTCTGTCTGAACTTTCTCCCACCGACGACATCGCTGCCAACAACTCTCCGAACCACTATTCTTTGAGTGCCACCTTCGCAGACATAACGGCACAGGCACAGTGATTGACACATGAAATCGCGATACGCTGTGCCTTCGAGCGCGAGCCCAGCAGTTGGTGTGAAGCTTTGCTTCCAAGAAGTGGCGTGCGGCCTGTGCAGTTCCGCTTCTGTTTAAGATCGGCTCGGCCTCGGCCACAAATCAAAGCACCTTGATGCCAGCATCTCCGTACGCTTGCATGAGGTTCCTTGCCAGCTGAAGCAGTCTCACGAAGGCATTGTTGGCCTGCGTGAGCAGTGGAAAGCTAGTGACAGTGTGTAGTCCACGTCCAAGAGACCAGGCCTCGCTGCTGCCCAAAAGCGCTGCCTCCGTGAAACCCTGCTTGTCCGATTCATGCCTAGAGTCCCGGCGGGTCCAGGGGCACGGGCAAGAGTGCAAGGCACATTCATGCCAAGGAGCTTTGTGACGGCGAGGTGGGCATCAAAATAGGAAACGCAGTAGGCAGCATTCTGGGAATCGCTTGTGGCCGTCACTAGGACAGCAAGCCCGTCTACCCACGCCTCCCATGAATGATTTCTTCCACCACCCTCTTCCGCAGCCTCACAGGGCTCACAAAGGCACACGAGAAATGCACACGATCCCAAGCCAGTCCCTGCTCATCTGCTCATGTTCATCCCTGTGCCTTATTTGGCCGCTTCGGCGGACGGCCCAGAGGCCTCACGTGAAGTGTTCTTTTGGCTGAGCTTCTTCTCAACGAAGCCAAAGTCTGCGGGCTCTGCTGCTTGAAGCACACCTGTGTCGCATCATCGCGCAATATGCTGCAATCTCTTCGGTGCTCCTTTACCACTTGGTGCTTCACTTACTCATTGATTCAAGCGGCCTTGACCATTCCCAGTTCGTCACTTGCCTCCACCACGAAGCCTCCGAAGCCCTGGTCCAACAGAACATGGCAAAGACATCCAGGGCGTCAAAATATGCTTCGAAGGTCCTGGCGCACGCACTTCTCCTCGCAACTAACGAGGTTCTTCTCCTGGACTTCGAGCACCTCGACTCAGGACTGTCTGACGGCGCACTGGAGCAAGCCCGAATGAAGAGCCATCGCGCCTCCGCCACGTCCTCAGAGAAGGAGTCAAAACCCTGGTATTTGGACCACCGATCTGGTGGCTGGTCCGGTCCTGCACAGAAAGTGTGTCGGCCCCTGCGCCGAATTAAGGCCAGCATAGAGCCTGCAGTCACCACACTTGACCTGCCTAAGACCTCTTTCGTTTCTCTGCAGAGAGCAGGCAGAAAAGGACGAAGGACGCGAGCTCGCCAAGGCGACACGACCTTGTCATAGAGTCTGCCTGAGGCGCCGAGTGTGCTCAAAGGTCGTGGGAGCGGTCTCTCAGCCGAGAGGCTTGATCCAAATCTGCGGAGAGCTGCCAAGATGTGCCAGCTGGCTTCAGTTTGCTCCAGCTCGGAGTCATCCTCTGGCCTATACTTGGAAAGGTGCTCCGCAAGGCATCCATGTTGGTTACATTTTCAATGAACCAAAAACGATTCTATTCGGATCAGCGGCTCTCGTGCACCATGCGAGGCTTCGTAACAGGCCATCGGCTTCTCATTGATGCTCTTGATGCCAACAACCAGCGCATTGCGAAGGTCATTGAACAAGGCTTCGGACATGCTGTCCATTCTGTCATGAAGCTCCTCCGCATTCGCATCCACCCACTCAGCCAGCAAGGTGCCACAGCGTTCTGACAGCTGCCTCCGTTGAAGAGCAGAGCTGCATGTTACAGATCCAAATTCGCACAGTTACACGAACGGGACAAGTTTCTGCGACCGAATGCCTGTTTCCACATCCAAGCATTCGCACCAGGCACATGACAAGAACATCTTGTACGCTCTCGAAACGTCCGAGCACCTTGCAATTCTTGTCGCACGTGAACGACTGTCCACACTCCAAAGAATTCAACGCAGGTACCTGCTGCATCTTGTCAGCGAACTCTGCTGCAGCACGATCTGCTTCTGCAGGCTTCATGTAGCTTCTCTGCTTTCGTTCACCATCCTGCAGGCCACCAGGCCAAAGCGAAGCACTGCAGCAAAAATAAGGTGATTTGATTTGTGCAAGTCCTCCGCCAACATCAACCTCCGTCTATCCCAGAAGTGCGCGTTCCACATGCAGGAGACCTGCGAACTCGCTGCAGGTGCCGCAAGATCTGCAGCTAGAAGTGCAAGGCACAGCGTAGAAAGCGGATGATGCGGCACGTGCTACTGGCGAAGTCTGAAGCTATGACCTTCTGCTCCAAGTCATACACATGCTTCAAGAGATCGTTCGGCTGGTCCAACGACTTTCTCATTGCTTCTATAAGCTCGGTCAGCAAGGGCACCTTTCTACCACTCTGTTGCGCATGGGCGTTCCTATCACGATGTTTGAGGCGATGGAGGGTCTCTCAGATCCCGACAACTCCTGTGACTTCCTGCTCTCTGCCTCCGAGAAAGGGTGCACAAAAGTGCCTCTAAGGGAGCGCAATTGCAGAGCCGGGAAGCCGGTGCCTGGAAGTGCCTCTACAGGAGCATTTCTCTTCCGCCTCTCCTTCGTCTCAAGCACGTCAACTCTTCGAGAATTCATGGATTGTCACATGTCCCCCTGTGCCACCGTCCTCGACACGAACGTCGAAAATGGAGAAGTCTGCGATGTTCAACTGCAGCTGGTCCGCTTGGACGCGCAACTGGAACCTGCAGGGAAACAGCCCTTGTTCATGGCCGTTGACGGCCCGGGTTTGTTGGGGCCCCTTGTGCCCACCTTAGGTCCGAGTCGATCTGAAAACCGTCCAAGGAGGTCAAAGAAGTCAGCGTGCTCGCGGTGATAAACTGGTATTCCTTAAAGCCCTCCGCGAAGGGGTTCGGCCAAAACCTGAACACCGTTGCACATGGGGACGAGGTGCGACGGAGCGACACAACCCTGGTGCCGGCCTAGTGCCGGCTTAGCAAGGGCCCGGCCTGAGCTCCTCCAAGTGGATCCTCTCCAGGTGCCCGAGCTGCTTCTTGAAAAGAGTCGGTCGCCAGTAGAATCGGTTGGAGGACAGGTCCAGGACGCGCAGCTTCTGCAGCTGTCCAAACTGGTCTAACCTGCTTCATGACACTTCAGCAGGCTGCAAGGCATGTGTGCACCATACTGTCAAGAAGCATATCGTCGATGTAATTGTGAGACAAGAGCAACTTGCTGAGCTGAGTCAGTGATGAGAAATCAGGGAGCTTGATGAGCTCGTTGTGACTCAGGTTTATCTCTGTCAAGCTCGGATTGACCAGCTTGACAAACGTCAACATATTCCGTGACGCATTGAGAATCTGCAAACGACGAAATTCGAAGGCCCTTGTGTCCTTGGAAGAGGAGTCACACACTGACTCACTCACTCAGTCATGCACTCACACTCACGGAAACACACAACGAGAGAGAGAGAGAGAGAAAGAGAGAGAGAGAGCGAGGGATCTTTCGAATCAGCTTGCCAGCCGCGTCTGTGCACAGCTTCAACTTCTCAGGCAAGCATCCTTCATCGCATTAAGACAGCCAATGTCAGTCAACTTGTTCTTTGCCAAGTTTAAAACTTCCTCAGAGGCTTTCCACATCACATGCACGAAGCACATGCAGGCGCTCACAGGATCTTGTTCCTGTGCCGTCCTGTGCTTGTGCCAAGTGTCTATGTGTTCACGAATAAACTGCTTGTGCATAAGGCCATTCTCCTGCTCTCCTTCGAGCGTTTCCAAACTCCTTACGATTCCGCAGTGGGAACCACACCACCGCCACAATTGCGCGCGGCTCGCGCGACATGAATTCTGAATAATGCAAGCTGGCAGCCATTGAGGACCACTGAAGTCTACTCGCCTGCGATTGCGCGCGGACCTGGCTGGCGAAACCTATCTAGCTGTCGTTCATCCCTAGCCAGCACGGGAATGTGTCTCTATGGCCTGTAAGATGTCCAGTCCGCCCCAAACTCGGTAAAGAACACTTCCGTACCCAGGGACGAGTACCTGATCAGCGTCTCGCCACAGCAACAACCTCGGCCGCCCGCAGCACTGAGGCCGGGGCTGTCCAAGTGCATTCTGGTGCTTTGCCAGTTTCTGCATGGCGAGGACAAGAAGGCGCCGCACGGCCGGGCTCGGGGGGGGCACAAGTCGTCTGCATCGTTGATGCCGTTAGCAGGGCTGCTACAGGGGTTGAGGTAAGAACTTGCTGTCACATGCGGTAGGAAAATGTTTGATACACAAAGCCTGATCCGAATGGTTGTCCTCAAATGCTGGTGCGATAACATTGCGATGCATAGCAGGCATTCGGTTTTCTGTCCACCATAGGGACTTGCCTGCCAGGCACGTGCACACATGCCCAACACATGCAAAGTGAAACAACACCTAGCTTGCATAGTGAAACTGCGAGGACTATGATGCTCTCACACATCGCACATGTTCGAAACCCTCACTCCTTCGAACTAAGTACCACTACAGTTACAGTTCACTCCCGTCTAACCTGTTTGATGCCATCAGCACGGCGGCGAAAGGCAGGTTACAAGGTCGACCTCGCTCGCTGCAGGTAACCAAAATTTTATGCTGCTCCATGTTAAGCTTCAGACCTTCGGATGATTCGCATGAACTCTTCTTCGCTGACCTCGTTTCAGCATCGCTCTTGTGAGAAGGCTCAACTTTTCCCTACACTGGACCTCGCCATCATCGTCTTTGTCTGCTTCCCTGATCATTTCTTGCAGCTCCTCATCCGACATGGTCTCTCCAAGCTCCTGTTCCAGAGTTGATGAAACAGCCGGCCATCTCTTCTCAGAGACGAAAGTTGCTTCCAGGAAATCTGGATAACCCGGTTCATCGAGCATCTGTCTGTCATTCAGCTGGGCCTTTGCAACAGCTTTCAGATCATCGAAGGAGATCTTTCCTGATGGCCCCTCGCAGTTTTCAAGATGCCAACACGAAAAGTGCGAGCACAAACCGAGCCTTGAAAAGCTGAAACGCTTTCAGGATCTGCTCCTTGGAGTCCTCAAGACCAACGAGAATACGGGCGGCTGCTGTCCTGAGCTCCCCTATGCGGCCTTCTCGCTCATCTTTGCTGTCATGATTTCCAGAAACTCGTTGAAATCCAGCATTCCCTGACAGGCACAGGCCTGATACCCTCCACGAGTAACTTCCGACTGCCGTTTGCAAAGCAGGGGCCTGGCCTGCACGTGTGAACTGCCACTTTTGTCTAAATCGGACACCTGCCATGCAATTCAGAGTTTTCTGCTTTAGGGAGGAGCTGCATGCCACGCTTTGCCACGTTCTCTTCCCGAGGTCAGCACTACTTAGACATTGCTATCTGGTGGACGAAGGCATCTGACTGTTGATGCACATTGTACAGCTGCTGAAACTTTAAGGCTTAAGGATGTCCGAAAGTCCCATGCGTTTTTGAACTTTTATAGGCTAGGCATGTCAGGTCATCTCTATGCAAGTGAAGGCCTCGGAAAGGCTCAGTTGGGTGCATGCTTGAACGAAGTGTCCACCCGGAAGGGGTGAGGCATTTTGAACAAACTATTTAAGGTATCAAAAACACTTTTCCTCAGTTCATAAACACAATGGAGCGCAGGCAGACTAATTAAAAGATCAAAAACAGCTATTTTAGGCATCAAAAAAATATCTCCATTTTGTGAGTAAAATACAGCGGAGGCAGGATCACGCGTGTTCCAGGTGGAGGGCTTGCCCTCCGTTTGCTTCCGGAATCCCGCCAGTGCGGAGGGAACAACATTTTGTCTCCAGCAGGAACAAAAAAAACGGCGACCAACCCTGACCTAGAAATACACCCCAATAAAGCCTGAAGCCCTATACCTGATTAACTGAATGAACAGCTTCACCCCTAAAACCTATCTGCAACCCGATAGAACAAAGCCTGAACCCTTTCACACCCAATTCCATAGATATAGGTAGGACTTAGGATCCTTAGTCAGGGACTAGCTTCTCTGTGCTGAGTTCCTGGCCTTTATTTCGTTCTTGCTTCATTCGTTGTTGTTCGTTCTTTCTTTATTTATGCATTCCTTCCTTCTTGCTTTCTGTTGCTTTTTCTGTCTTTCTGTGTTCTTTCTCTCTTCGCTGAATTGCTGTCTCTTTCCGTCTTTCGTTATTTCATTTCGTTCTTTCTTTCTGTGTTTCTGTGTTTTTCCCTTCGTCCTTCTTTCCTTTCCCCTTTCCTTCATCCCTTCATTTCTTCCTTGCTTCCTTCTTTCTTCCTTCCTTCCTTTCTTCCTTCCTTTCTTCCTTCTCTCTTCCTCTGTTCCTTCCTTCCTTCCTTTGCTTCCTCTGCTTTCTTCCTCTGTCCTTTGCCTCGTATTTTGCTTATAAAATGGCAATAGTTCTTTGTTTGATCCCTTAAATAGTTTTTTTAACCCCTATCCCCCACCCGGAAGCATGACCAGTTTCCCAGATGCCGCGTGTCATTGCAATGCTTTCGCTTCAATTGGCCGGATGACGAGCTTTTTCAACTCTTCCTTCTTGGGCTCAAAACCCAAGGCTCGCAGTGCCACCTGTGACAAGTGGACTAGAAGCAATGGCTCATTTGTTGCGTTTAGCTTCGGGTGCTCTGGCCTTGAGCTCCTTGGCTTCAATGGTCCCGGTGCCATCTGTGTCGAAGAGGTCGAAAGCCTCCTTTATCTCGGCCTTGCCGACTCGATCAATGCAGCTTCCACAAGCAAGCATTCGTCATGGCCTTCTGCTCGTCTTTGAGCTCCTAACAGAAAGGACGACCATGAAGCACGATGTACTGGACTCAACTGGTAGAAACGTGTCACTGCAGTGCGAATTAAACCAGTTGAGGCTGCAGCAGTCCGAGTTCGCGCGCGCACCTTGCGGACCTTCGGCGGCATGGCCCTGGCCCGACACCCAGGACCCAGACAGGTCCAGGGACGCAAGCTGAGAGCCAAAAGCAAAGGCGAGTTTTGGCAAAGTGTGCATCAAACGCAGAGCCCTGCATCAACGTTATCCCTCTGCTGAGACTCTGCTGTTTAGACATTTTCTGCCTTCATCCCCCTTCTGTCACGCTTGCAATTGAACGTGCATGCTTCCGCTGCTGTCAGGAATAGCAGTAGCCAGTAGCAGCGACCAGCAACGACTCGTGTCAGCACACACAATTTGGCGGTACGGAATCTTGATGAAGCACGCATGTCAAGGCAAGGCTATCATTGCCGGAAACAGCAAAGAGCCGAGATGTCTCCCCACAACTCGGTTCCTCCTCGACTGCTGCATTAGCCAGGCGCCGACTCTCAGCGCAGTGCACGAACCCACGTGCTGGCTCTGCCGCAATACGATAACTAAAACTGGACACTGCGAGGGCTTGCAATACCCTGTTCTCAACAGCATCCCTAAACGAATTCGTAAGAGAAACGCAGGCGCCCACAGGCGTATCATCGTGGAGGCTGGTGCCTTAACCGAGCCAGCTGAGATCGAAATAAGAACAACCGCGGGAGATGAAAGCACGTTCCGGCCTGCGGATGCCATGCTCACAACAACAACTGTTTAGGAATCTTCTCCGACCGTGGCGATGCCCTCAGCTGCTACACCTGGAACCTGGACCTAGGTCCCGAGCGATGTCTTCGCTCCCGGAAGCTTGCGGCAGAGGCAAAGCAAATCGTTTTCATCCACTTGATGACACGGCTGGTTTAGCGAGCTCTCTGTCTCCCCCTAGACTTCCTGCCGTGGCAGCTTTGTTGGTCTTTCTTTGGACTGTTTATCCCAATGCCTTAATCCTGAAACCATGCCCGGACGACACCGTCGGAGTATGCTACGGAAACACCTAAGCATGACAAGAATTTTACATGAGCGTTGCCCTGCAAACGGGTGGATCGCTCTAGTTGTCGTAGGTGCTTGGCACTGTGTGCAGACAACGCTGCGAGAACCCAGAAATAGTTGAGGAAGTGCATGGAACTCCGGACGAATGTCTCGCACTTCCAACTTCATCCTGGCATGCTTGTCTGGCGTGGTGTCAAACCATACAGCATTTCTGCAATCTTCTCAACACCACTCCAGCAGTGGGGACGTGTCGGGCAGGTGCGGAGAGGGAGAGAGAGAGAGAGAG